AACTAAGTCACAGAACTGGGACTCCACCCCAACTTCCCAGACATCTTCCACAATTAGTCCCTTAGCAGCTGTCTGAAACATGACCATAACTAGTGTTCCAGGCCACCACGCCTTACAAAGCCTTGCTATGTTGAATAAGTTAAGGCTGTTTCCCCTTCTTCCCTTAAAGCTCCAACACATGCTTACTGAGAATGATTCCAATTATAAATGATTTTTTTTTGTTTTGTTATGAGGGTAAATTACTGAAGCGACCGTTCTGGAAATCTGCTCTGTATTCGAGACTCCTCAAGGCTCCAAACAGGAAAATAATAAACTGACATGCTGAGAAGCTGAGTCCTGCCCCTTCCTGTCTGCCTTGCACTGCAGACAGGTGTCTGGATGGGAAACCGGTCACCCCTGTCAGACGGAGTTTCCTGCATAGTCTTGCTTTTTGTCTGCCAGCTGGGCCCAGGTCACCCCACAAGGCAGATGTGGGGAACAGTTGGTGTCTGGACAGACAGACAAAGGGGGGAAGGATGGAGGGAGCAGACTGACATTCTGGGCCATCTGACCTGGAGTCCCCAGGCCTGGTGACTGGGAAGAGGGTTCGGTAGAGAGTTGGCTAGAAGGAAATGTGGGAGAAGATGCTGAATGCTTGCTTACCCATGGGCCTTAAGTTCATACCCAGGACAGCTCTCTAGGAGCACTAGGAAGGAAGAAGCCCACCCGCCAGGGGAAGGGGGGAAGCTGCAAGCTCATTACCTCTAGATGTTCAGAACAGGGGTTAGAGGCAGATGCCTCACAGTCCAGACTCGCGAGATTTGCATCTCAGTCCTACCACCTGCTGGCTGTGGGACCTTGGCCCTTCTCAGCCTCAGCTGCATTGTCTACAAGATGAGCATAACAAGACAACACCTACAATGGGGCTGCTGCGTGATGAAATGAGATGACACGTGCAAAAACGATCACCACTATGCTTGGCAAATCATAAGCTCTCAAAAAATAGTAATGACGATTGTTTGGAGTAAGGAAATCCTGACTCTTACCTGCGGCTGTGTCACCTTGTAAAAGTGAGTTCACCCTCTCTGAGCTTCAACAGAGTCTATCTTATTGGGTATCTCAAAGGGAGATAATATGCAGAGACTCTAACCCTGACAAGGCACCATTAATGTGCACCATTAATGGAATTACTGTAATTGAGGAAGGTGCATGAAGTAAGTTCCTGAATGCTAGGCTGGGTGCTTGTGGGCAGGGAACTCCCCACGATGGGTGGCTGGGGCCAAGAGTTCAGGTAGGAATGAAACAAGGCCACCAGTAAGGGGCAGGGAATGAGAGGAAGGAAGCCAGCCTCTGGCCCCTCTCCTGCCATCAGAGGCTTCCTGCTGTGGAAGCTGGAGACAGAAACCAGGACTTTTTTCCACTCAGAGGAAACTGCTGTCTGGGACGTCAGGGATGGCTGGCAAGGCTGGGAGCCTCGATGACTCCCCACCCTGTCTTCACTGCTGGGAAAGGCTGCTTTCACCTTGGCCAAGGGGAGGAGTCCCACGTCCAAGGTTCTCTGGCAGTCGGGGTTCATGGTGAATTGTCTCCAACAAGAACTGGGATGGTCACGCTCATGCGCACTGAGGACTCAGCCTCATGCAGGAGCAAGAGCTGGGCTCGTGAGTCAGGGAGAACTGGGTTCGAATTTGGGCCTCAGCAGTTGTGGCCAAGTGACCTCAAGCAAAAGTCCTGTTGGTGCTTGGGGCCCAAACTGCTTCACCTGTGCAGCAGAGGTAATAGTGACCTGTCAGAGCTGACATGGGGATTAAAGAAGGTCACAGAGGACACGTGTCTGGCAGGATGTCTGACAGAGGGGACAGTTCACTTAGGGGTATCTTTTTCATCCTCTGTTTCTCCACCTGCTGTCTCTAGAACCCAGTCTACTGCAGGAAGCAGAGTTGGGTGTGTACGAGAGAGTGTTAATGCATTCAAGAAGCTGGAGTTTACTTAGAAGTTAAATTGGGGAATTTAAATTGTAGGAAGTGTGAGTTTAATTTGAGACACGCTTCTCCTCCAGAAGTCAGACTTCCAGGAATCCCCAATGTGAAGAAAGCACCAAACGCTGCGAACAAGGAACAACTACAGCAAAGCCGTGTGCGCCAGAAGAGAAGGTCAGGCTCTGTAACCCATGCTCCCCACATGGTTCTTACAGCCCTCTCCATCCTGTCTTCCACCACTGCTCACCTCCTCCAGGAGAGCTGCTCATTCTCCAGGGCTCCATGTAGATGTCACCTCCAAAGCAGCTTTCTCTCACCTTCACGCTGCTCTCCAAAAGATCCTGCACCTGTCCTTTACTGCCCTTGCACAAAAGCACTACAAGGTGTGGTTGTATACCTCACTGCTTAACACCTGGCTCCCTTAATAGACTGTGCGCTTCACAAGGGCAGGTGTCAGTCTATCTGGACTCTGGAAAGTGCACACAGTCCGGTACAGTGCTGGGCCCACACAAATGCTCAAGGAACATGCGTCTCACTGAACGAAGGAAACTTGGCTGACAAGAAGGATCACCAGTTTAAAGAAGGGGATCTTGTAACACAAAAGGCCAAAATTACATACATAACGTGGGTGGAAAAGCAATGACTATGAAGCATATGCAGAACTGCCAAAGAACAGACTCTGGGTCTCTCACTAAAGAGGCAGCACTCACCTAAGGGCCCTGATGTCTGAAATTGTTGCACCCGAACCCAGTATAGGAACAGAGAGCCAAAGTGGCCATATGGTGTACACGCATATATTTTTGCAAGTGACTGTAATAATTTGGAATCTGCACCTGAACCCCAGTCTCATGACTTCATGTTCCTACCATGCACTCTGTAGAAACAGCAATCCATTTAAGGAAGTTTCCCAATAAAAATAAATTAGTTTTTTTTTTATGTTTTTGTATATAAGTTATAGTTGGTAGGAAAATTCTTTTAATCGGAGCTGCTCTTACTCCAGCTGATGGTGTCACATGAATGATGTGTCATAATTCTACACAAACTTCTATTTAAAACACAAACTTCATTGTCCATTCACTTTCGCAAATGGCTCATTCCAACAAGTGAAATTGACACTATTGTATGCGATTCATTTGGCAACATGTATCAAGAGCCTTATAAATGCTCGCACCTCTTATCCTGGTCCTTTCAATTCTAAAAGTCAATTGTGAAGGAATAATAAGAGCTAGAAAAATATTTACCTGCAAATATATTCACAAGCATCATTATTTATCGTTGTGAGAAACTGAACCCAAGAGTTAAAAATAATAGTCAGAGGGGAATGGTTACACAAATTACAATACATCACAACCCTGTGATAAATAATAATAGAGGAAAAACTATGGCTGGGAAATTTGTAATAATGTCAGACCATATTCTTACGTGTAAGATTTCCTGTGCTAAGTAAAAACAAAACAAGATTGCAAGCTGGAAATGCAGTGACATATACATAGGCGCAAATACCCACACACTTACACACACAAAATACTCCAGAAGGAAAGCAATGGCTGTTTTGGGTTGTAAGATCAGCAGTGATGGTGGTGTTCTACTTTCTGGATTTTCCAAAAAGTAGAATATGTATTGTTTCGTACCCGGGAGAAAAATAAAATTCACTTTCTACTAATGAATAGAAATGAGTGAATAAATACAAAACAAATTCATTAATAGAAAATTCATTAATAGACAATGAATTTTATTCAACTGTATTCGGGCAGAAAGTGTTTACCTTCAGTGTTTAAAACAGAAAAGAAGGGCAGGCATCCTGAAACGTTGCCCATACAAGACTGGCTGATCCCAGAGAGCCCCAGCAGCCCTAGTCATCAACCAAAAAATGGAGTTTGAGTGTGTTCCTTGGGTCTTACCCTGTTTATCCATGCATTCTAGGGTCAGAGCATCATTCTTAAAGGAACTAATTCTTTTAAGGATGGTACAATATAAAGGTATTTAAGTAGCAAGCCAGGAGCCTTGCTCTGTGTCTATCACTCCCTCTGCCACCATAGACAAATCGTTCCTCCTCTATGGGCCTCAGTGCCCCATTATGAAATGAAAAGTTTGGACCACATGATCACAGACACCTCGTCAGCTAAGACTGACTGACCCGTCTTAGGAACAAAGTTCTCCCTTCTTTAAAGAGAGAGAGATGAGCTCAAATGATTTTTTGGCTCAGAGTATTGATGAATATAAAAACAGAAATAGCTTCCCATGAACATATTCATCACAAGAGTGCTCTCAACTTGGGTTGCCCTGGTGGACCCACCTCTTCCCCAGCGCTCATCAGGAAGAAAGTGGAGGTGGCTACTCTTCTGTGACTGGTAGATACACGTGATAGTCAAATATTCAGGTTTTACTACAAACACTTGAATCACTCCTATTACATCTTAATATGCCAAGGAAGAAAATCACAACCAAGACCACCCCTGCTAATTTTATAAAAATTAGATGTGAGAAACAAGAGATTACAGAATAATCAAAGGCTATGACTTACCTTGGTAGAAATGTCCCATCTTCTCTCTTCCCCTAGACTTTAGCCATACAGCCTAGAAATGCAACTTCTCTCTAGGATTTTACATGCCCCAGGAATTCTTTTCCTGGCCACCTCCCTGATCCTTCTCTTTATCTCTCAAGTTTTAGCTTCCATGCTGATTCCTCTGTAGAGCCTTCTCCAACCCCTGGCCTGGGGCCTCAAAGTGCTCTATCCTCCTCATCCCAAAGTATTGATGACTCTTGTATTTGTCTGCTTCCATACCTGGCTCTAAGCTTTGAGGGTGAGGAACCACATCTGCAAAGATCATCCATGAACCTTCCCACCTAGCCCAAGGCCCAGCACATGACATTAGCTCAACTACTGCCTAAAAGAATAATAATAATAAAAAAAAAAAATACAGTACAGTACAGCTTGTGAGCAAGTGCTGACACAACCAAGGCACTAGGTTATCCAGCATGTAGGGTGATCCTGGCTGGGAAGCTGGGCAGGCCTGCAGGAGGCGGTGCCCAGGGGCCTACCTTTTTGGTCTTCACCGTAGAGGCACAGCAGTCCCCACCATCGTAGTTGCAGAAAGCCCGGTTGTTGATGGCATCACAGTAATTGTCTCCCATGAAGGGCTACAAAGGGGGAGAGAGGCAGAAGGGAAGGAGGCCTGTTAGCATCCTGAGTGGGTGAGCGATGGCCCTGCGGTTGTCTAGCTCTCTCTCAACGTTTTAAAAACCTCTGCAGACAGCCTACCTGGCTTCAAGTCTCAACACCCTCTTAGACCAGTTATCGCTTCTACCATTTTTAAAGACTTATCTAGCTGAGTTTTCCCTGACTAAATTATGGTTACGCTGGTGGACACACTTGTAGGAGTATGCAAAGCCACAGGATAGATCACTTACATCTTTCCAAAGCAGGGTTCATTTTACTTCACGAAAAGATTGGAAAATTTGAGCACCTTCCCCCTACTTTTCCTAGGAGTAGGTAATTAGACACACGATTTATAATAAAATATAAGCTGCATGCCATCTACCCAGAATTGTAAAGATCAAAAATCATAGGAATTTGGCACAATTGTCCGTATGTGATTGTGGGCTCCCTCTCCTCTAGCACTGGAGTACAGATGTACTTAACGTCACGTGCTTTATGTGTTTGTTGTCTTTGTTCTCCAAACAACATGTGAGGTTAAGCTTTGCTCTTCCCTCTTTTCAGATGATTCTGAGGCTCAGAGCAAGAAAAGTGCCCAGCCAAGATCCCACTGGCAGGGCAGAGCAGTGATTTAAATCTAAGTTGGCTTAATATTTTTTTCTTTGCCATTCTAGCCTATATCTAGCACATACTGATTTGTTGCTTTTCTTCCCTGTGCTCCTCCAACTCTGTGGTGCTACAAAAATCAGGAAAAGATGACAGAGTTAAGTCATTACTGATCTGAACCCAGGGAAATCTTACAGGAAAGTCAGGAGTACCTGCAAACCCCCTAACACTTTTTTTATTCCCCATCTGAGCACTTAGCCACTGTTTTCTGTTTATGGACATGTAGCTGGTGTAAGACTGCGAGCTCATTGAAGATGTGGGCAACATCCAGTTCATCTTTGTCTCCCTATTGCCTATTTTAATGCTGGGCACAACTTTGGCTCTTAGAAATGTTTATGAAATTGAATAGATTGCATTGGCATAGTGGAAATGCAGGTTTGGAAAATCTGGGCTCTAGTCTAACAAGCCCCAGTGAACTGGAGGGGTTACTTGGTGATTTTGGTTAACTGGGTTATCTTCACTGGGTCTCAAGACTCCTAGCACAATGAAATAGGGAGGTAGGCTAGGTCCACTGATTTCTCAAAACAATAAGCATACCCCTTGCCCCATCAAAAACAATACCATATGACCCTTTACTATAGAAAGCAGTTGAAAGCAAAACCACTGTAATTAAAGTTCAGGATGGGTGCTCTAATGCTCAGTGACTCACTGATGTGAAAGGTGTCATCAGTTGGCTAAGACCATTGCATCTCAACACAACCCCTCTGATCCAGTGGTCTCTCCTTTGCATCCTGACTGTTATGGGGAGAACTGAGCTCCACAAAGAGTCACCCCCACCCCCGTGGCATCCCTGGCTTTTGCATCTCTGCCCCAAATTCACAGAGCCTTTGCGCCCCCAACTCATGATGCCAGATTCCATTTCCTCACTATCCTGTTAGGGTCTAAAAGCATCTTAGCAAGACAGAACCAAGAACAGGCAAGAGCTGTTCTCAGATGTATGTGTGCACAGGTGCATGGCTATGAAAACAAGTGTGGCTCTGCTGTGCACCTGCCGTAATGAACACATTATCACATTCATATTTGAGCTGAGAGGCACAAACAACAAAGGATAAGCCCTTGGCTCTTCTCTGTGCCTTAGGAGACCTGCCTATGGGCTCTGATCTTTAGGGTCTTTCTTATATCAAATACAGGAAGGAAGCAAACCTAATGCACCTTCCTTAGAATAAAAGGAACTGGTTTGGTAAAGGAGTCACTAGGAAAGAAGAAGAAAAAATAAATAAACGAAACTGGTTCTTTTAATTATTATTATTATTATTATTATTATTGTTATTATTATTATCATTTAGCCCCTGAAAAAATCTCCAGTCTCATCACTAGCTGTATGTCCTTTCCTGTAGCACATCCATGCATCTGTCCACCCATCTACGCATCCATCTTGTATTTAACCATATTTACTGAATGCTTACGATGTGTGATACACTATGCTAAAGAAAAAGACATAATAGTCAATATAGATCGAGCTCCTACTCCTCCAGACCTTACACTTCAGTGAGCAGGCAAGCTTTAATCAAATAATCACACATCTAATTGGCAATTTCAACTCTGATAAGACCTATGGAGGAAAGGTACGTGATGTTGTTAAAGAGGACTGAACCTAATCAGGGAGCTCTGTGAAGGTGTCCCTAAGGAAATGACGTTTTGGCTGGGATCCGAAGACATGCAGGGGTTAATTAGATGAGCGTGGAGAAGGGAGACTTTCTAGAGACTTTCTAGAGACAGTAGTGAAAAACTTCACTACTTAGAGATTTTTTTTTTTTCCATCGCTGGTATTTCTCATGGCTACTACTATTACTAGTATGTTCAGGTGAGGAATTCAACCTTCAGGACCTAGTTCAAACCTCATCCCTCCAAAATGCCTTCTCTAATTCCCCCCGGATATTCTGTGTTTCTACAGCTTCTTGTACTTGTTTTGGATACAGCTCTTGGTACATCTTTAAGAATTCTCTCTTTAACTGTCTATCTCCTTTACTACACTATGAGTTCCTGATGGATGGGAATGTGTGTCATTTATTTTTGCATCCTAGATTTTCTAGCAAAACGTGTGGCAATTTGAGCAAAACTGTATCAAATATACATTCCTTACATGTTTACTGAGTAAAACCTCAGGAACGGATACATGGATGGACAAAGGGCAAGGAGATACCACAGATGAGTCAGGAAGAGCATAGTTACTATTTTCACTTGACTAAGATCATGGTGTTCCCAGAATGCAGAGTAGTGCTAGGCACATAACAGGCATCAGTGAAGCTCTGACGCATGAGTGAGTGAATGACCACTTTGGATACGGTGGGGGCAGGGGGGTGGGTAGAGGGCTCAGGAGTCTCAAAACCCTTTCTCAGTCTTGGCTACTCTAGACACTCCAGGTTGATGGCTCCTTCCTGGGCCCAGCATTTGTATCTCTTCCAGGCATTGTTTTCAGCCCCAGGTAAGAGGCAAACTATTAGCTCTAAGCTGAAGAGTAAAGGAGAGGAGGAGCACCTACAAGGGCAAAGGCGATAAGCATCATTGGCAGTGCTCGGAGCCTGACAGGTGAGGGTCTCCTAGGCCCCAGTGCTGAGTCAAAGGAGGGATCGAATTCTGCTGTCACACTGGCTGCCCAGACTGCCAACTCAGCAGAACAAGCGCCCAGGTAATCTAAGCTTCCTTTTCGCAAAGCACTGGACTGATCCAGAGAGATGGAAGGAAGCAACAGCCACAGGGCCTGGGACTTGGCCTTGATTTGCCATTCCTGGATGAATCTTGGAAGAATGGAGGTTCTTAAAGACTACAGTGTCAAGTGCCCTGAGAAGATGCTATAGGGAGCTCCTAACCAATACACAGAAACAAAAGTGTGACCCAGGGACTGTCCTGTGACACTTGCAGTTCCGAGGTGTTTCATGGGTGGGAGGTGGCCTAGTGGAGGAGAAAAAGCACTGGGCTGGAGTCAGGAGACCCAGGTTCATGCTTTGGTTCCGTGGCTTTTATGCTGTGCAACTTTGGGCAGTCCATCCCCTCTCTGACCCTCATTTTCCACTCCATATAAGCATTGAGTAGATCAGACTAAATTAGATCATACTAAGAACCCTTCCAATTTTGGCATTCCATCAAATTTTAGATTTGGCTACTATCTAGGTCCCAGTTTCCTCATCTTTAAAATAAAAAGTCAGGGGTGCCTGGGTGGCTCAGTCGGTTGAGCGTCCGACTTCCGCTCAGGTCATGATCTCACGGTTTGTGAGTTCGAGCCCCGCATCCGGCTCTGCGCTGACAGCCCAGAGCCTGGAGCCTGCTTCTGCTTCTGTGTCTCCCTCTCTCTCTGCCCCTAACCCACTCGCATTCTGTCTCTGTCTCTCTCAAAAAAATAAATAAACATTAAAAAAAAATAAAAAAAAATGAATAAAATAAAATAAAAAGTCAGGTTTAGATCATCTAGAAGAGCATTTCTGGCTCTGACATTCTAAGAATTTCATCAAATACAAAGTTTTCTATGGGGCACCTGGATGACTCAGTCACTTAAGTGTCCAACTCTTGATTTCAGCTCAGGTCATGATCTCAAGGTTTGTGGTTCCCGAGTTCCAGTCCTGGGTTGGGCTC